TGAAATAAGCATTTGAAGTTTGTGAAATTGTTTGTACAACTAGCTTCAGAAAAGAATGGACGTTATATCAGATACTACCTGGAAAAGCAACGACCACGTTTGACTCTGGATGAGAAGATACTATTAATAACCACAAATAACAAGAAGAAATAGCGTAGGACATGTAGCATGTATGTTTGTGATGTGCAAGAGAAAATCCTTGTCCCTGGTTTTACAGGGGACAGCTTACATGGCTCGCTCAGCTATAAGAATAGGGTGGATAGTGACAAGATGTTTTTGCAGCTTGATATATTTATACAATTTTGTTGAATGCATTGGAGTGACCAAAGCTTTAAATGAAACTGCAAAAGATAAAACAAAAGGAAGTCGTGAAGAACTGACACTTAGAGTGCAATCTCGTTAAGATTGGTCTTTAAAATTCTAAATTTGCAGAATTCATTTCCGGAATGTTGTCATCTATACTGTGTGTGATTGAGGACATCCCTTTTTTCTTCTTACAATCATTTTGGGAGCCATCTATTCTAGTAGCATGACTAACTCGAAAAATGTGACTTACTGATGGGTCATTAGGGAGCAAACGCTGAGGGAGTGCCAAAAAGGCTTACCTATGATGAAATCCAGAGCAAGACATACCTCGAAGTAAAGGGGACTGGAACTGCAAATCAGTGCCCAACCATTGATGGCGGTGTTGACAAATTTGCCTTCAAGCCCGGCAAATACGATGCCAAAAAGCTGTGCTTGGAGCCCACTTCCTTCACTGTGAAGGCTGAGGGTGCTAACAAGAATGCACCCCCAGAGTTCCAAAAGACCAAGCTCATGACCCGCCTAACCTACACCCTTGATGAGATTGAAGGACCCTTTGAAGTAAATACTGATGGAACAATAAAATTTGTCGAAAAGGATGGAATCGACTATGCTGCAGTTACAGTTCAGCTTCCCGGGGGTGAGCGCGTGCCATTCCTCTTCACCATCAAACAGCTAGTTGCTTCAGGCAAACCAGAGAGCTTCAGCGGTGAATTTCTCGTGCCATCATACAGAGGTTCATCCTTCCTTGACCCAAAGGGCAGGGGTGGATCTACCGGTTATGACAGTGCAGTTGCATTGCCTGCTGGAGGCAGAGGAGACGAGGAGGAACTTGTGAAGGAAAACATCAAGAACGTTTCATCTTCATCAGGGAAGATCACCTTGAGCGTAACCAAGAGCAAGCCTGAAACTGGAGAAGTGATTGGAGTATTTGAGAGCGTTCAGCCATCTGACACTGACTTGGGATCAAAGGCCCCCAAGGAAGTAAAAATCCAAGGAATATGGTATGCTCAACTTGAATGATAGAGAGGGTCTTGAGCATCAATTAATGTACTCATTTCTTCGTATTGAGTTTTGCTGTAACGCTTTTAAGGTAATCCATATCCCACTGAACATTCCCCCAAAAAACCCACCATAGAAACGTGGAGACAGTTATCCTGCTTGTATATTATGATGATGTTTCTTCCGGTAAAAAAAAAAGGGGGGGTTTCAAATTCAACTCTGCATCGAGATGTTACATGTTAGAATTGATAGACTTCCAGAATGCTAGGGAGATGACAACAGTAAAGGAAATTTAACCAAGTTTGTATGGAATTTCGACTGAACAGTAATGAAACTGAATCAAACGTCAGAACAAGCATGTCAATAGCGATAGCAAGCTTGTCAGTGCAATTGTACAAACGACACTCCTCCTCCGTGTAATTTGTAAAAGTCTTGCATAATACTACTGATCAAACTGCTGGGGAGTAACTCATTAATTAGGAAAACCTGAGTAAACATTTGGGTACGAAATGAGTTTTGGGGGATTGTTGTGTAATGTGTAGTTTTCAAACTAGAAACGGATTCTAGTGGTAATTCGAAAGTTACAAACATAACTCTTACTTTACGGCTCTCGTGAAGAAAAAAAGAATTATTTCTTGAGATTTTGAAGATACGACCTCTATAACTATGACAACTTCTGTAAGCTTTGTTTGATATGATGGACTTGAATGAAGAGTTGAACACCAATTTTCAGATTGTGATATACGCATCAAGACTTGAATGAATTAGTCTTAAGAATCAAAAGTTTGTGGAGTGGATGCTGATAAAGCGAAAATACGAGCGAGTGGGAATATGAATTAATACAACAGGCAAAAGAAAGATAGCCACGTTTTGTAGCACGTCCCTTCCCCCCGGGGGGAATTTTACGAACAAAACTCTCCTCCGCAATTTGTAAAAGTCTTGGATATATATAATGGAGTACTAAATTATTTGTCACATATATGATCAAAGAGTTGGGGATTAACTCGTTAATTAGGTAGGTAGAGCTCAGTAAAAATTAAGGTACAAATGCAGGATAAGGACATGGACTATAAAGAATTGCAATAAAAGCTTTGTGTTTCAAATACTGAATAATAGAAACAGAGCCAGTATTTATTTGGATATGATAGAGAAAACCAAATGTAATAGAAGCTGATAAAAGTATCGTCTCCTTGGACTATTTACACTTTGCTCCCTTAAACTTGGACCCTTGTAACACTTTGCCCCTTCAACTTCAAATATATACACTTTATCCCTTATGGTCAACTTTTTGACAAGGTTAAGATGAAGTTATATTTTTTCATGATCAAAATATCCCTGGCTAATCCTTAAACGCACATAATAATTATAACATAATAAATACATATTTCTTTAATAGTTGCTAAATGCATCTAAACACAATTACACCATGTATTTCGATCTTTTAGTGTTAAAATGAATTAGATAATTCATAGAAAGAAGTCTAACCAACTCAATGTATTTATCTCAATGCCAATAGCAATACTTATTTTAATGAAATAAAGTTATTTAGTGCATTTGGAATGAAAATTATTTGCTTATATTTTTTATTGTGCCACTTTCTTATGTGTTTTATATGAGATAAAAATAAAAATGTATTGAAAAATGTATTAGAGAATTTTCAATTTTTTTAATGTAGAATGCAAATATAATACAAAGTAAGGTATGAATGTGATATAAAATTACCAAATAGCATTTATTGAATCATGAAAATCTTGTGATAGCTACAAAGTAAATGAAAATTATCAAAATTAGTCCGTTTATAATTTAAAGGAAGAGAGATAAGCGATGAAAAACTCATGCAGATGTTTTAGGAAGTTTAAATTCTTTTTTTCTCCATAATACAATTTTATAATTTAAAGGAAGAGAGATAAGCGATGAAAAACTCATGCAGATGTTTTAGGAAGTTTAAATTCTTTTTTTCTCCATAATACAATTTTTCAATTCTTTGGTTTAATACCATCTTTTATTTTTTAAAAAATTTTTAAATCATATGACTTTGTGTTTTTTCTAATAAAATGTTTTATATTCCGATTAAAAGGATAGTATTATTCTAGAACTTTTATGTAAGAGCATTAACATCATTTTATTACATTTTTGGATGGATAATTAATCATTAGCATTTGACTAGTCAATAGAGAGGGCAAAGTATATTTATTTAAAGTTCAAGGAGGCAAAGTGTTACAACGGATCAAGTTCAAGAGGATAAACTGTAATTAACCCTACAAACAAATACCCTAATCCCAAAAGAAAAGCTTCGGTTGAGGAGTAAAGAATGCTCCCGCGACGTCGCAACCGCAGATAGCCGGATCTCACTGGATTCCGTCTCTCTCTCTCTCTCGGTTCTCCAAAATACTAAACAATTCAGATAACGTCGTGAATGCCAAAACTAATACTACTCACCCCCCAAATTACACGTAACTCTCTCTGTCTCATCATAGATAAAGAATTAGACACAGAGAGAGAAAAAAAAAAGGAAAGAGGATTATTTGTTGGTGGGGGCGGGGACTTTTAAACAATCTAATTTAGGCTTTAATTAATTTTTTAGACCAGAAAACATGACGACGCGCATCGGCATGCCAAATTGATTTGATTTGATTTGATTTGAAGGAAATAATCCACCATCCGTCTCCCACTCACTCCCGGTGTGTTTTAATTTCGAGCTACTACTCAATAAAAGCATCAAATTCTTCCACACAGAAAAGAAAAGAAAAGTCGAGTCGAATTGGCAACACAAGCCAAAGGTAACCAGCTACGTCGTCGGGCCCACTTATGACTTGTCAAGCTCCGGAGCCTCTGGATGTCAATTTTCGCGCGTGGCTCGGCCCTTGAAACTTTATGAAAATTAAAAATATTACAACCAGGCGCCCTCTTCTTTTTTTTTTTTTTTTACGAAAGTTAGATTAATAAATCTAATCCCAAAAGAAACCTCAAAAACCGGCAACTTTTGAGGTCCTCCCAGGGACTTATAAATCCAACCCCAAACCCCCCCAAGAATCGATGTGGGATGGCAACCCCACAAGGGCAAGCCAGTAGGTCCACTGCTACTAAGAAGTGACGACCCCCCACGAAACCCAGTATAACTACCCTTACAGGAATTTGTCTCTTGACCTTTTCCTAAGAATTGGCTTTTTTTTGACCCCCCAACAACCAGGCGCCCTCACATTCACTAATTCTGCTCTCTCTTCTTACTCTCTTGGGAGTATTTAAATTGACACAGTATTATTGTTCTTAGCATATTAAAATTCTTTTATTACAATTGTACTAAATTAGTTACGGGGGTAAGAATGAAAAAGCGGCATCCATTTGTAGGGTCGAAAGAAGGAAATTGAAAGAGCATATGATGCATACATTGCCTTTATTGTACTGACCTCCTTTGTCGCATCAAATAATTAACAAATTTATTAATGATGTGAGTACAATATTTTATTTTGGTGCAAAAAGATGGGATTTTCCGACCTAATTGTTAGCTTTTGGATTTGTTGAGGACAAAATCAAATCATTTCAAATTTTGGAGGATGAGGAATCATTTCTGCAATTATCTTTAAAATATACAAATAAAAGAGCCTCCCAGCAATAAAATAAATGAAAAGGAAAGCAATACATATATATATATATATATATATATATATATATATATATTAAAAAGAAAAAGAAAAACCAGAGAGAGAGAGAGAGAGAGACTCAGAAGAGAGTGAGAAGAGTCCTTCCACCAATTGTGTCCACATCATCTCCTTTCTCCTCCGTAAACGCTGATCACCACCATTTCTTTCTTTTCTTTCCGACAGAACAACTAATTCGTCCCGTCAAGATATCCAATTCAAGAAAACGAAAACCCTCCCTCCCGCATGTGAAAATATTTCAGTAGTTTGTTGTCGGAACTCATTTGTGAAGCCAAATTGTACTAGTAGTGTGCTTTTACGGTTTGCGTATTCGACATAAAGGTGGAAGGCTCCCATGTCCATGCGGAGAATTCAGTCATGGTTTTGACAAATCAAATATTGCTGGGGATCATATGGATGAATTGCCGGGGGCTTTAGGGACGAGTGCCAGCTTGGCTTTGAGATTAGGACAGGCCATCTTCTCTATTGCTTCTCTGCTTTTCATGTGTTTGGATGTCGAGTTCTACAGCTACACTGCCTTCTGGTATTTCTCACTCTTTCTTTTACTGGATTTCCATGTCCCATCTTCTCTTCTTGTTTAATTTTTTTTTCATTTCTCCCCTTTCCTCTTGATCGAGTGTTTAGTTATTTTCTCACCATTTTTTCCTCATTTCTCTTTTATTTCCCAGCCAATTGTAGTTTGATGAATTAAAGTTCGGGATTCTCAGTGATCATGTATAATTGGAGATCTTTTTGGATGTCTCTGCGTCGATGTCTATGCTTTTGATTATCATAATTCAGAGTGAATTGCAATTTGTAGCTTTGGAAAAGACTGGATTCTGGTGGTGATGATTAAGCATTTTTGTTTTTTCGGTTTTATGTTGGGTAGACTAGGGAATTTTGTCTGACTGTTCAGGTTTGACAACTCAGGGGACCCCTCCCCCGAGAAGTCAGAATACTACTAATTCTAGCCAAATACAAAGCACTCAACCCCACCAACCAACCCTCTGTTTAATCTTTCAAAGACCGCCCCAAAGAAGAAGAAGAATAGAGGGGGAACTAGAGAGGACCGTGGAATGATGCATTGCATGGGTGACCCTTTGGTGGTGAAACTGTTGGAATAGGCACAAGTAGTTAGCTAGAATTTTGGTTCCTTCGATCCATCTTTTGTATGAGATTAAATTAATGCCATTAGTTTCAAGAAGTTTTCGTGGAAGTTATTAGTGGCTTTCACGCAATTCATTTGCAATAGTCTAATCAAAAGTCATCAGCTCGACATCCGGTTGAAGAGTCTCAAGGCAGAGGCTTTAACTTTGATTATTCAAACATTGAGACTAACAGTTGTTTGCGCTCGACATAATTAAAGATTTTTTAGTCAATTCACTGTTTCAAGATGCTGCAAGATATGTCATTGGCTGGTAAAACTTTTCACGATATCAATAGAATCAAATTTTTGTTAACTTGTTAGGGGATCTCAGGGGGACGAAACAAATGTTAACTTGTCTAATGAGTCGGGTATCTGATTATTCTAATCAGTGCATCAGGGAGTAGTGGCTGCGCAGAGTTGGGTGCCATTGAGTGCTCTAACATATTTACTGCATGATTTTGGCCCAGATGATTATTCTCAATCACATTGTTGTGTAGAAGTGGAAAATCTGAAGGAGTTTCGGGATTATCTCATGAGTGTGTTCTTAGAAGTTCAATTGTATCTATGTCATTTAATTGTGAATTAATATACCATTATCCCTTTTCCAATGTTGAGGTGAACCGTAGGTTGAACTGAACAGGGCTATCAGTAATTACTCGACAAGTTACATTTTAATAGGACGTTAGTTTCAAGTGCCCAGTGTTTACTTCAGGGAGAAGTTGGGAATTCCGGTGGTGCACGGGCATGCAATTTGCCTTGTTTGTCACAATTCTAAATTGAGGACTAGTGAGGGCCATTCCCGTGATCTTCAGCTTCCCCTTTGTTCGTGTTTTTAATTGTTTCTCTTAGGGTTTGACTTGTTTATGGGAAAAATGCTGCTTACTGCTGTTTTTATCTTTTCCTTCAGCTAGTGCATTGCTCAAAGTCAGTTTGACCCTGAAATCCATGAATTTTAGATTGCAGTCTGACTGAATGCCAGAAAAGTATTGAACTTCAAATTTTCTGAAGCACACAGAGTTTCTTCCTAGAGAAACAGCACCTGAACAGAAATAAAAATGTAAAAGAAAGGCTTCTAGCTTGTTTTCTGGGCATTGTTTGAACAAATCACTCATAATTTGATCTAGAAATGCAAACAAAACAAGTAGTATTACTGTGTTCCTGCTATTTGGATTTGCAATTGCTATAAAGCAGCTCTTTTTTAGTAGTCGACTGCAAAAGATGATTCCAGTTTTAGGCTTGTCCTCTCCTTGGTAGTTTGCGGCATAAAATTGTCTAAAGTTGAAGAGTATCTGAGTGTGAATGTTGCAATGCAGAGTCATCAAAGTCGTATAAGACTGAGTGGGCTTTCAGTTTCATTGTTGTTTTTAAATTTTCAGTTTCTTGGTAACAATCATGGGTTTAGTCATTCCTTGGAGTCTAACATTGGCAATGGTGGATGCATTCTCTGTATTCGTTAAACGGCCTTCTCGTCAGCCAGGAATAATGTCAATTGTTGTGATGGGAGATTGGGTATGTTGCTTTCTTCCATTTCTTTACTTTTTTTTTTTTTTGACTCACTGATTGAGCTACTGAAGAAGATGTGCGGAATTCTTTCCCACAGGTACTATGTTTTTTATCGTTAGCTGCATCCTGTTCGTCCGCTGGTGTAACAGATCTGTTGATGGTTTCTGGCGGCTCATTCTGCAGCGCAAAAATATGTGGCCGGTATCAGTTATCTGCTGCTATGGCATTTTTGTCTTGGTTTTTGTCGTTAGCTTCGTCTCTCTTCAATCTTTGGCTTTTGGCTTCCTTTTAATTACTACTATATGATATAGATATACTGGTACGTACGGATGGGCTTAGCCATCTCGTAGAAATTAGAAGTCCTATACTAAGTAAGGGGCATTTTGTTGCTTAGACATTTCACCAAATATACATTCAACATTGACCTCTCCAAATGTACAGGTACCTCGAAAGGCTCCAATTTCTAAGGAAGAAAAAAAAAAGGAAAGCCATACGTGGCGGGATTGCAATAACAAATATATATACACACACACACACACACACACAACAGCTCTACTCTTTTAAGAAAAGCAGTCTGTCGTATTAGAAATGTACAGAAAATGCTTTCGCCTGTTTTTGCCGTATCGTATAATGAACAGCTGTTGAGCCCGATTGCTCTCACTCTTCGTCCGTTAAGTTGTGTTTGGTCTCAGTTTCAGTTTCTTCTATAACATTGCAGATTAATAGAACATGGTTAATAGATGCAAGCTGATGGCAGTTGGTCCGACAAGAACACATTCCACTGGTTTTCTTTCAACTACATCGTTAAGTTGTTTTGTTAGTCTCATTACATAACATTACATCGTGGTTTACGATATTTACAACTACCAAAGTATCTATCCACGTCAAAGTCAATCAGTAAGGAACAGTTAATGAATCAAAAAGAAAACGAAATACTCTACTACTATGTTGGCACTACTCACGAACGCTGACCAGGAAGAATAGTTCCTCGTATAAGCTATATATATGTATATATATCCATTGGCATTCGAAGTTTATTGAGGTGGCCGGATAACGAGTGGGAGAGGCGGCTATTACTGGTTTATTTTGTGTTACAGTTGACCTGAGATGAGTGCATGTATGTCAAAAGCAATTACCGTTGCTTCTATAGACATATCCAGCAGCACGCTTGCGCTTTAATTAATTGACACAAACAAGTAAGCACGTACCTGGAATTGAATTGCCGGAGGAAGTATAAAACAAGAAGAAGATTTAGGTACTTGAATAATCGGTTCTATTAGCAAATTCAAAAAAATCCGAGGCATGTGTTTGACTTGTAAATGAAAGAAATAAAATATGAATGAGATCAGTAGACAATATAAAAGGCCTCTACGGGAGTCCGAAAGGAACAGGAACGGATCACAACACATCAGCAAATGTCGGGTTGCTGGTCTCAGACCCACCACGTCCGATCCATGTGCTGAGGTGTTTCTCCGCTTGGACTCAACCAGCTTGCCACATCTCTTTCAACCCTCCCCTGAAGATCGAATTTTACCATCGTAGATACCCAGGGGCAGCCAACAGTCTATTGGGCTCTTGGCCCGTAACTATCCCGTCCGCTTTAACCTCCTCTTAAATTATGTTAGAGTAAAAAAAATATACAATGCTAAATTTGTGATAAAAAAAAAAAAGATAGCTACAGGCCCGTATGAACACCATTTAGTGTCCTATGGTACCACTCCGTTAATTCGGATTGAATTGCTACTTTTTTGAGTTTCTATATAAAAATATACCATTCAGGATTCAATGATTTAATGTATATGAGATAAAATGATAATTGAAAATTATGTTACATGCTATGGCCAATCAAATTATGATAATTGAAAATTATGTTCACTCACCAAGTTTAGCTCGATCAAATCGCATCTCCGACATTTACTGACCTTGAGAGACTCGGGCTCCTTCAATGACAGTCGGCTCATTCTTTTTGGTTATAACTTATACTGTACGGGGTTTAACCCTACCGTATTTTATTCTTTTTTCCTTTTCCGTATCTTGAACTCTGTTGCACAAAGAAAGCAAGCACCACATATCTATCTATTGTGAGAATTCCAAATTCATAAAAACAGGGGGACCGACAATTTTTTCTTTTTATTCTTCCTGGGGTACGTCGGACGGACGGTAGTAGTTCCATTATCCGCCAAAAGGAATCTTGTACCTACAAGCATCGCCGTCAGCCCAAGGTTCGCCTTGCAATCGGTCAATAATAACATAGCCCTCGAGAAAAACACAACCACTGGTGCTACCAGCGGCGGTCGATTGTTTGTGCGTAAAAAGCAGGATACGCTGTTCAAGAAAATCTGGTGGTTGTTAGGTGTTGCAGTCCCACCATTAACCCTCCCATCGCCCATCACTCCACTTCACGTGAACTATTCACCGGACCCCCAAACATTGACCTGCCTACGTGATGTCAACTTTCAACCCCCTTTATTTATTTATTTATTTATTTATTTATTTATTTATTTTTGGGGTACAAATCAATTTTTAATCCTAGTTACCGTGCAACTAGTATAAAAAAAAAAATTGACCAACGGTGTGACTGTCGCAAGGAGTTGATTGATATCTACTCAACGAGAGATTTCGGATTCGAATCTCTAGAAGGAGAATTGCCCTAAAAGAGTTTGACAGTACTCGAATTAAATTACTCAGGGTTCAATGTGATTATCAAACACTGAGAAATTACACCAAAAAAAAGTATACAAAAATGGCAATCAAATTCCTATAAAGAAATGCAGAGACAAATTAGTAGAACTAGAAGAGTGTGAAAAAAAATTCGATCGTGTTGATCTCCTTTTCAAAAATTGGTTTTGCTTTGGTCTTAATTTCACTATTTTGACCTCACTTCTGTGCGAATGCATTCAGCAGTTATTCCGGTTCTCTTCAGGTCTTGTTGATTGAAGAATGAATATAATGCACTTAAACAAGCATATAGTACACCATAACTCTATGACAAACAAGAAAATTTCTGCACCTGTGTGTGCTTGGATCACATGGTTCAGATATTCAATGACTCCTTGTTAATCGGATTCTTATTCATTGCAAATCTATGATGCGTTGGATCAATCAACAGAAAGAAGGTATGAATTAGATGATACGAGAGAGAATATGTAAACGAGAAGTTACAACAACACGCTAGATATGGTTAAAATCCAGCCTCTTACTTTACTGCAAATTATTACTACTACCGTAGATCCAAACCCCAAAAAAAAAAAAAAAACTACTAAAAGCAAAAGGAGTTCCTGAAAAGGTTACTTTCTTCGTAAAACGTGGGTCAGTGCTGAAGGACACAGTAGATTAGTAATACAACCTGTCATCCTTATGTTTCCAGGTTGGCATCCCACCCCACTGATCTCACAACCCGACAAAAGAAACCCTTTTTCAATTTGCTCCTACTCGCTAGATGACAATTCTGACGTGGCCTCCTGGTCCATTTCACGATACAATCATCAATTCCCACCACCTATATATACGGCCCCCAAAAAGTACTCTCCTCCCCATCTGTCTCCGCCCGCCTAAAAATACTACTTTTTCTCATGCACCCATCAAAATACCCGTAAAACACGTTCTGCTGAAAAAAAGGCGATTCACCATTTTTGAATCCAGCGTTATATTTTAGTGATAATAAGCTCCTCAAATCGTGATGGGCATATGCAGTTCTTGCGAGTCCACGAATGTGGCTACTGCCAAGTTAATACTGCACGACGGAAGGCTTCAAGAATTCTCCTACCCGGTTAAGGTTTCTTACGTGCTGCAGACGAATCCCGCCTGTTTCATATGCAACTCCGACGAGATGGAATTTGGCGATGTCGTTTCCGCCATAAGCGATGACGAGGTGCTTCAACCGGGTCAGCTGTATTTTGCCTTGCCTTTGAACCGGCTGAAGCACCGGCTTCTCCCGGAAGAGATGGCGGCATTGGCCGTCAAGGCCAGCTCTGCGCTGGGCAATAGCGGTGGCGAGAAATGCGGATGTCGGAAGAAGAGGACCTTGGAGGTGTCTTGCCAGGATTATCGGTCGAGAAAGGTGGGAGATTATGGGGACGATGGGTTGAGAAGAGGGAGGAAAGGAGGCGACGGTGGTGGGAGGAGAAGGAAATACACGGCGATATTAAGTGCGATACCCGAGTAGAGGGGTATTTTGGAAAATGTAGGATATTCAATTTATTATTGTTTTTTTTTTTTTTTGTAAATACTTATTTGGTTGAGGCGAGGCGATATGGGGTTAGCAATTAGAAACTTAGAATCGAATTTTGCCTTTTTAGTAGTAGGTTGGCTTCGTTCATTTCAAAACAAGCAAAAAAAAAAAAGAAAAAAATAAGGGTAGGTTGTCTTTCTTCTTCGGGTTGTAAAACTAACTACAAACAATTTTGCTCTTGGATGTACATGACAACTTATAATAATACTCCACTTGACATCTGCAGATCTACAGTTCGAATTCGCTCCGGAATAATTGCTTGAAAGAATATAATACTACTAAGCACACTAGTTAGAAATTTTTAGTTTGGTTAAGCAATGAATGAAAGTATACTTTTCTGTGAACATATTTTCAAGTACCTTTTTATTTCATATATATCAAATTAAATTGTTACAGTAATTTTTTTATAAAAAATCTATGTAAAAAATTTAAAAAAATGCAATCCAAACACAACCTTATTTTCAGGCGTTACTCGCGCGATGAAGATTGCCGGACGCCGGTGGCTTGGCTTCTTCCTCTTTTATCATTACAGTAGTACTATATGCTTGGCTTTGCAACTTACGCCACCTAAATGAGAATCTGCCGGAACGAGCATATAATTATCCTTAGGACTAGGAGCATTATTGCTTTGGCGTTAACCTATTGCCGGCCGGACAAGTTGTAATAAATAATAATCGATGGGATGGGAAGACAAATTCCAAACGTGTACAGACGCTCTTTTACTGTTACTCAGATTTCAGATGCGTACTAGTTTATCACTAACACAGTACAGCTGCTGAATCTCTGGTTCCATCGAATACGACAGATGAGAGGAGACAAATAAAATGAGATAGAATCCTATCAATTATTAGTAGTATTATTTGTTAGTAATTCAATTTATTGGGACTTCGAAATAGACCATCTACGCGGTTATCGTCTAAGACTAAGACTAATAATAATATTCCAAATCGTTGCAGCTTCGAGGATGACGGGAGGAGGTTGGTTTTGATGATTTGAATCATTTGACGATGGTGTGGGGGGGGGGGGGGCCTTATCATAGAATTCGGCCTTTACAGCTGTAGGCGTCCATGTTACGTTTCATGCAGACACAAAACCCATGCATAAATAGCAAAAACATCATCATCCAATACACCAACTGCACCTATGGATGCCAAAGGTCCCGTACGTCCAACCAAGTACTCTGAACTACGCTCACTACATGCATCATGATGATTGCGGATTGCTCTTCTGTTTCTCGTACTATAGAATTTTTAAGAGAAGGGGGGAAAGAGGAGAATCGATAATTTAACGCTACGGGAAATCGGAACCTGATCTGCCAGCAGTACTGTAGTAAGTAGTGACCAAGTCCTGGCCGACGCTGCAATGTATATTCTTTTACTCGGATGAACTTGTTTGCAAATAAATTCAAACTGTCTCTCTTCCCTTTCAC